AAGGGCATGTACCTCGGTTGCAGTTTGTCCCCAGCCCTGGTTGGTCGTACGGGTGGCAGCCACTCGATGTGTCCCTTTCATATCGATATTTCTCTCTCTCGCTCTCTTCTTCTCTCTCCCTCCGACTCTATCTGAACAAAAAAATGAGAAAATGTTCTTGGGTGAGGGGAAAAAAAAGGTACTTCCCTTGCCGTTACTTATTGCCTTGAACTATTTGGGGAAGGCGCGTGTGGAAGGCAGGCCTACCAAGGGCAGACAGGCACCTGAGCCTGCTGCCTCTGGCAATGCCCCCAGCTGAGGAGAGGACCTGAGGCTTGTGAGTTTTACTTACCATAATTCCTGAGATGAAAGGAGGTACCTAACTGGTCCTACAGACTCCTCAATCCAATTGCCCATGAAGATTGCTTGGGAAGCATTTATAAAATTACAAGTAATTGGACTTCATCCCATACCAATTAATCAATCTCTGAACAGTTTGTTTTTAAAGCACTCCAGGTATGTGTCGTTGAGGTTAAGGACACCTCTGTATTGAACTAATCAAGCCCCAAGAATTCCCAGTTGACTAGATACAGCTTCTCGAGCTGGAACGTGGACAGAAGCCTGTTCTAACAGCTGCGCATCCCTTCAGGGCACGGCCCAGACTAGGTGCGCTGCTGTCCCCCGGGCACTGAACAAGTACTTCAAATACTTGGTTTCATTTCCTTTTCCCAGGGAACAGGAGCTAGGCTGGGGTTGCTTCACGTTAGAAGAGTCCTTGTAGAACCAGGACCCAGCACTGCTGGCTCCGCTCCGCAGGGAAAGGGCTTCGGGACAGTCACTCGAGGAGGTCGTCGTGATCACTCAAAGAAAATAGGCGTTTTTCAAGATTCCTTTTTTTCCCCGTGTGACCCCCTTCCTTACATTACAAACTTCTGTCTCATTGTTTCTATGAGGTTGGGCAGAAACTAGTTAAAAAATATTTCAAGCAAAAGTCCAGTGTAGCTGATAAGTTGCACTCAGTATTGTGAGTAGCCATTAAGTTACATTTCTGAGAACTGAGGGGAAGAAAATACTTTGTTATGTGACTCAACAATACATTTAAAAAAATGGATTAGAGATGAGACCTAAGACTGCCCTCCTTTTCTCCGTAACTACCTTCCTCTGCCCATAGCCAAAATTTCCCACAGATTGGTTCTCACAAGGAATGAGACACAGATCTCTGGAAATCGATACCAATGGTTTAACATGAACACATTCCCAACATCTCAAAGCCACATCAGTGCAGAAGTGTTGCATTGAATTACTGGTTAGAATGGGAAGACTAGTTAGACATCAGCCCATCCCAGGATGATCTGACCCACTTGAACATTTAACATAGGAGACAGCAAACTTTTTCTTCAAGAATCAGACCGAAAATATCTTAGGATTGTGGGCCACAGAGCCTCTGTCCCAATTACTCAACCTTGCCATTGTGGTGCAAAAGCAGCCACAGATAATACGTAAGCCACAGACAATATGTAAGCAAGGCTGTGTGGATCTGACTGTACCCCAATACAATTTTACTTACAAAAAGAGACAGGCTGGATTGGGTGTTTTGCTAACCCCTGTTCTACAAGAAACTATTTATATTTTGAAAATCTATTTGCATTTGTGAACACAGCTTCCACAGAGTAAACTGACATTTAATGGGTGACAAATAAGGAAGAATGACATGGTAAAGACTGACATGGATTTAATGACAAATATTCCATACTGGTTGCTTGAACACCAGAATGCTGTCCAGGGAACCATCATTAAATAAAACAACCTGAAAGTAAGGCAATTCTCACATACATAAGCACACACTCACACAAAACCTGTTACTTTTAGGGTCATTAAATTATTCGCTATTTGAACAAACAGCTGTAAAATAACGTTACAGTGAAGGACAGTGTGCACCAACTTCAGAAACACAGTTCAGATTGTCTATGAACACAGGTTCTCACTTTGCACTTTTCACATAGGCACAGCCTCTTGATCTTGAAGAGACCACATGGCTCAAGGGGTTCACTTGTCATCTTCTCCTTACAGCGCAGAGCTCAGGATTTAAGCCACTTAACGTATTTAATCTGCTCCAGACTTGGCTCAGTCAAGGGCAGCCTGCACTTGACCATACTCCCAGGAAACAAATGATACACTTGCCTCCACCTTCGTTAATGAGCTGGTGGAAGGAGTCTTCAGATTAACATTTGTAAGGGTGAACCACAGTTAACAGGATTTGCTTGAGAATTACTATTATTCTAAAACTAAATACAAGAAACCATCCCCTGAATGCATTTAACCTCACTTAATGCAGATATGTTCCCTGAAGAATTGTAAGAAAAATGGAATCACATTTTAGATGCACCATGAGAATGGGCGTTGATGGTTGGTCTGTTTCCTTCTGCTAAGGGGTTTGCTCACGGAGGGGATACTTAAGTAGTCAGCTGCCTCTCTTATCCACGGTAACAGAAAGAACAAGAGAGGTCAATGAAATCCAAGGATTTCCAATGCTTCTAAACTATTTTACGTTAGCTTCAATCTCCTCTCCTCTCTCTTCTCTTCCTCTCCTCGTTGAACCCTTTCTCGAAAGTTGCTAATATGTAACACAATTGATGCAGGCGAGACTGCGCAATAGTATAACCATGGCAGCAAAAGGCCAAATAACCCATAAAGTGGACAGTCAACCCATGAAGAATCAAAAGTTCAATGAGATTTCACAGGCACAGACTTGAGAGAACTTAAAACAGCTGGAAGAGGTAGATGTTCATGGAAGAAAAAAAAACCCAAAGGAACAAGATCACCTACAAACGGGCTATATTATTTTCAGGTGACTTATACACTTCGTATTCAGATTATAAAATTCAGAATAAATAATGGACAATTGCTTTGCTCATATTACTTTCAACTAAAAGAAAATAAAAAGCAATCAGTGTCTTCCAAAACTATCTATATTTTGAAAATCTATTTGCATTTGTGAACAACAATAACCCGATTAAGAGGGCATGATCAACAAGCATTATACAAGCCCAGAATTCTCAGGATTTCTTTTTAAGTGTTTTTATAATGACAAAAACATGCTTTCCTACAGTCCCTCCTAAAGAGGTTCTAGAATACAACTGATCAAGTATGAATTCCTGGCATCCCCCGAAAATTTGCTAAATTGTAAAAACAATCTTGTAGTTGTTTTTTCCCCCTTCATGTGTATCCAAGTTTGTGAAGATGCTTCCATGAAAGTACAGGGTAACAATCACTGGTGAAGAAAACAAGACTGCTTTCCACAACTCTAACTTCTAAAGGCTAACCTAGGGAAGGAATTTTCAGCCCAGGTAACTGAAATCTGTACAAGAGTCATCTAACTACAGCCCCTACTAGAAATGTAACACACCTAGGACACCCTACTTATGTGACAAAGACCAGCTTTGTCAACGAGGACATCTTTGGCCCTTCTAGGCTAGCCTTAAGTTTTCCATCAAGCATAGGAATTTTCAGTGTCCTTGTTTTATTATATAAATCACAACAGGTAAGTCTTCCTAGCAGCTGAGCTGGAGAGCACAAAAGGTCAGACCACACCTATCCACACTGTCACCACCTCTGCTCAGAACAGCCTTTGACATTCCTGTCTCCAGGCTTCCCTAAGACAGGGTCATAATACTGATCTGTCTCACAAAGACGTGAGAAACAACTGACAATCATTAAAAAGCATAAAGCACTTTACAAATACAAAAGTGCTAGTTTGGCATTTATAGAACAACCAGAAAACATTCATTGCTTGTGCTATTTGGCAATTTTGCATTCACACCTTCCCTGCTTGTGCCCTCCTTGTATAAAGCCTGAAGCTTTCTACTGTGCCTCCCTGTGTAAAAAAATAAAGTTTCTACTCAGGCCAGAACCCAAATCAATAGGAGTGGAGGTGGGGGTTCCACAATCTCCCCCATCACTACAGTGGCAGAGGGGTACACAGATGCAAAGCAAAGGCAAACCAGACAAAGGAGCCTTGCACCCCAACATGTGAACTTTCACTTCCCTGTGCTTCTCACATAAGGCCAGCAAACCTCTTGAGCTGGTTGACCTTTGTAGGTCACAACTGCTGATGGTCTGAGGTTCAATTGAAATAAGCATCCAGCTGACCTGGGAAAGGGAAAGTCACCCCGAGCTGGGATTGTTTCATGTGATCTTTCACATGAAAGATCACAAGTGAGACCTGAAAGAAACACGGGGTCAGGCACACACCTGACACTGGAGGCCAGGGTCTACTCACCCACACAGGCCACCTTGACCCAGCCTGAAGCTAGAACGTTTCAAAGGAAGTAGCAAAGAACCAGGGGCGGGGCCAGGATTTCCTAGATCTGAAAAAACCAGTTATGAATGAATTTCTGAGTTTCACTTTTGAAATGAGGGTGTGTAGCTTTTCTGCCCAGTTTCCCCTGGATGCCTCAAAATAGCAGCTAACTGTGGCTCAGAGAAAGAAAGAGTATACAATATATCCTCTCCTACAGGATTGACAAGGTCCTCTACTCTTCGTGTGGGACTCTCTGATGTGGGGGGACAGGGCAAAAGGTGGTTTAACACCTGGTGGGACCAGGATAGAATTATTCACACACGCCTTTTGCCTTTTACTCCCCCCCCCCAGCCCTCACTCCAACCACACCCCCCCATTCCCACAGGCCATCCTGTTCCCTCTCCCACCCCCTAACTTCCTTCCCTCAAGGTCCTCGAAGTGCCCGCTTAGCCCCTAGAGTGTGTTGGAGGAAGTCAGTACTCTCAAGCACATCTCCCAAACATTTCATCCTTGGGGAGGAGGCGGGCAAATTATAGCACCCAAACAAACACCTCTTACTCAGCCCTCCCCTTCAGGGCCCCCTAACACCAAAAGGCTTCCTCCCCAGTCACTCAGATTGTCCCTCCCGCCCTTCCCATTTCTTTCTATAGGGCCTGTCCTCAGGATAGCTCCGCTCCCACGTGCGCCCGGGGGGGGGGGGGCAGCCTCCCCACGCCCTGCCCTAGCACAAGTGCAGCTTCTGGTGCTGCGCGAGGTGCGTTTTGTAGCGGAAGCCCTTGCCGCAGCCCGCGCACTTGTGCGGCTTGTTGCCGGTGTGGATGCGGCGGTGGCGGATCAGGTGCGAACTCTGGATGAAGCTCTTGCCGCACTCAATGCACGTGTAGGGCTTCTCACCCGTGTGCGTGCGCTGGTGCTGCGTGAGGGTGGAGAAGTCGCTGAAGCGCTTCTCGCACTGGCCGCAGCGGAAGGGCTTTTCGCCCGTGTGCACGCGCAGGTGGTTGACCAGGTGCGAGTTGCGGCCGAAGCCCTTGCCACACTCGCGGCACACGTAGGGCCGCTCGCCCGAGTGCGTGCGCTTGTGCGTGAAGAGGTGCGAGCTGACGCTGAAGGTCTCACCGCACTCGGAGCACATGTAGGGCTTCTCGCCCGTGTGCACGCGCTGGTGCTTCACCAGGTCCGAGCGCCAGCTGAAGCGCTTGCCACACTCGCCGCAACCGTGCGGCTTCTCGCCGGTGTGTATGCGCTGGTGGTTGGCCAGGTGCGAGCGGCGCACGAAGCCCTTGCCGCACTCCCCGCAGGCGAAGGGCCGCAGCGCCGCCGACCCCGCGCCGCTGGCCGCCGCGTGCGCGCGCCGGTGGCTTAGCAAGTGCGAGCTGAGGCTGAAGGCCTCGCCGCACTCGGGGCACGGGTAGGGCTTCTCGCCCGTGTGCAGCCGCCGGTGCTTGAGCAGGTCCGCGCGCCAACTGAAGCTCTTGCCGCAGTCCGCGCACAGGTTGGGCCGCTCGCCCGTGTGCAGGCGCAGGTGGTTGGTCAGGTAGGTGTTGCGACTGAAGCCCTTGCCGCACTCTCCGCAGCGGAAGGGCTTCTCGCGCGGGGGCCGGGCCAGTGCAGGCCCCGCCCCGAAGCCCCCCGCCACGCCCACCACCGCGCCGCACTCCCCCGCCAGGCCGAAGGGCTCCAGGCTGGCCGCGGCGGCCGCCTCCGCCAGGCGGTGGATGCGCTGGTGCTGCAGGAAGGCGGCGCCCGGGCTGAAGCTCTCTCCGCAGTCGGGGCAGATGGTGGGCGCGTCCATGATGCTGGCCATCAGGCTGTCCAGCTCCCCGAGGTCCACGGCCATGGGGTGGTGGAGCCGGCGGAAGCGGCGGTGGGCCGGCTTGTCGCCCCGGTGCCGACTGCCCAGGGAGAGGTGACGCCTCCAGGGAAGCACGGGCGGGGACGGCTGCTCCTCCTCCTCTTTAAGCCGGTTCTCGCCGGCGCTCTCCTCCTCTTCTTCCCTGGGGCTCCGGGACACGCTGTCGGACTCGGACAGTCCTGGGAACATTGCCACCGCAGCTACACCAGCGTGGTCATCCTCTTCCTCGCGGAGAACCTCTTCTTCCTCACTCAGCAGCCCCTCTGCAACACAAAAGGTGACAATGGGGGCGATTATACCGGGAGCTTAAAAAGTAAACCCAGAGGCGGCCAGTCTCAACAGTGTGGGCCACGGAGTAATTCATCCTTGGTGCCTCCTCGGGAAGGCAGGCCTAGGAGAGTGTGCTCTGAAACTCGGCTGAAGCTCGCTCACCCGTCCCCTTGGCTCACCGTTCCTGGCAGCTGTGTCTGGGCCCAGGTCCCACCCATTGTGCCCGAGGCTCCACTCACTAGAGCCATCTGAAGGTCTGACAGTCTGTTTGAGGAAGTCAGGTCTGCGCCAGGTGGAACACCATGGGATCTCGGAAGAGATTTGCTCCCTGTAAGAGCGACCCATGCCTTCCAAGGCCCTAGCCTCAAAAGATAAGACCATTCCAGCCTGGCTGGTGTGGCTCACTGGTTGAGCCTCAACCCATGCACCAAGAGGTTTGATTTCCGGGCAGGGCACATACCCGGTTGTGGGCCCGATCCCCAGTGAGGGGCATGCAAGAGGCAGCCAGTCCATGTTCTCTCTCATCAATGTTCCTATCTGTCTCTCTCTTTTCCTCTCTCTAAAATCCATAAAGACAAAAATATTTAAAAAATAAATAAATAAAGACCACTCCAGCCAATCATAAGAAAAGGCCACCTGGCCTAACCTGGCTTAATCAGGCCTAACCAGGGCCTGGACTGATTTTTAAAATGTGATTGGTCATTCTGGAACAGCTTATGGTGGAACAATACACCAAACAGGACCCAGCTTATGGGCTTTACTATGTAAGGGGGTAAGGACGATGTAGGAGGAAAGGGGAAGTGGGCACAGGGCCCAGAGCTGGTGAGCCCAGCTTAGAGGCCGACCCAGCACACACATCTGTCTGTCCCTGGCTGCTTATGCCCAAGCAGAGGGCCCTCCAGCAAGTCACTGGATATGAAAGAGCACATGCTTGTGTGCAATGCTGGGGCCTGGAGAAAGAATGTAATCTCTCAGTCCTGGCAAGGTGTTTCAAGTCATTTTTGTCCCCAAGGCATGCATAGAACAGGATAAAGTAAGGAATGCCTGAAACCAGAACTGAATATGGATGGAGTCTGTCAAGCAAAACAAAGGCTTGAGCAGAGGCCTTGGGCACTCTGCGAATTAGCTACAGGAACCTGGGCATGTCACTCACCACTGAGTTTCGTTATCTGCAAGCAAAACGATGACAATAATTGTCAACAGCTGAATACTTTGCACAGCACTTAGCTTCAGTGAGCTTGATATGCGGCAACTCCTCTAACTCGCCCAACAACCCAGAGAGGTAGGTTCTAACGTTCCCGTTCCCCGTGCTCCTCTTGTGTTGTTCCAAGTGCTGATCTACAGCAGCATTCTGTATACTGGGAAGTGCGGTGCCAGGGACTGTGCTCTCCAGCCGCTCACCAGCACAGCCCCCCTCACACTGGACTGCAGAAAAGGATGTTCCTCGGGCTTAAATTAATACAAGTTCAGCTTAATGGTCCCTTCAGGAGAGCTCCCTCACAAGAATGCTGCCCCTGGTTTTCATTCTGAAGGAGCTAGAAATACATGTGAGCAGGGCAGCTTCCATGGAGACTCCCCTTCTCCTCACCTGTGCAGATGTCAGACATGAGTCCCCGCTCCTCAGAGTCCCCTTGTGGAGCTTCGTCCCGTGGGTGGGAGCTCACCCCCTGCTCCCGGGGACCGCCTCTCTGATCTGCGTCCTGTGCATTAGAACCCATTTTTCTCTCTTCTGGGTCCCCTTCCCTGTCCTCCGAGTTCTCAGAATCGGAACCCATCTCGGTGTCTTCTGTGTTCCGGGCTTCACACACAATGTGATTGTCTTCTTGTTCCATCCGGGAGGAACAGGACAAAGGAGGTGACCAGGACTCCCTGCTCCAGACAAAACACACACATAAAGGTCATGTCAGTCTGGCTTTATTTCCTCACCTTGTCTGCCTTTGAATTCCAGTGGCACAGTCCAATGAAATGTACAGAGTTCCAGACCTCAGAGGGCACAGCTCTGCTCCACCTCACACGTTCAGGTAAACAGACACGAGCATAAAGGAGGCTGGTCTGGGTGCCAGAGGAAAGTGGCAGCACACCTAAGGCCATAGGCCACCCCTCGCTGGACCACAATGTGATGTTTCCACTATAACGTGAATGATTCTATTAACATGACTTTGTAGCTTTAACCATGGGGTAACAGTGGTATTCCCATTTTACAGCTGAGAAAATGATGCTCAGGAAGAAGACCCACTCGCCTAAGGCTAACATGTAAGCAGTGAAGTAGGGTTCACATCAATTTTGCTGCGTCAAAGTTCCATGCACCTCTTATTCTTATTAAAGCTTGCCTTCCTCTAAATATATACAATTTTGGCCCTGGCCATTGTGGTTCGGTGATTAGAGTGTCGGCCTGAGCACCAAAGGGTTGCAGGTTCAATTCCTGGCCCCCGGTCAGGGCACGTGCTGGAGACAACCAATCAATGTTTCTCTCTCGCTCACGTGCTCTCTCTCTCTCCCCTTCCCTCCCTCTCTTCCAGTCTCTCTAAAAATCAATGAAAAAAATATCCTTGGGTGAGGATTAATAATAATAAATAAATAAATACATAAATACAATTTGTATTTATCAGTTATTCCTCAGTAAAGCTGGAGGGCCGGGGAGGGGGGATGTGCCCTCCTCAAGCCCACAGCAATGTTGTGAGGATTTTAGCTCATGATGAGTGGGCCTCTAGAAGCCAGAGGAAAAGTGCATTCGAGACACAAGAATAACAGAAGTATTGGCACACTCACTTCTGGTCTAAGACCATGTCACTGGCAGCAACACCAACCTGGCTTTGTGGTGAGGACCAAGCTTTCATGGGTCTCTTGGGGGTGGATGGAAGAGATGCAGGGACCGTCTATATCAGAAGCCATCCCTACAGCCGTATTCCATAGTGTGCCTTATATGTACACTTTAACTGTAGAGAGCCCTCAGCAGAGCACGCCCCGGCGTGGTCTGTAACCCCTCTACAGACAGGCCAACGTGGGAACTACAGGGAGAAAAATGACCTCAGATTCCTAAACCTTTTGTAGATGTCAGGTTTACATTTCAAATGTAAAGGGCTCCCCGCCAAGGCTGAGCCATGGAGCCAAAAATAATTTACTTCTGCCATCCATCACTCCTACAGCTTAGCTCATGGCAGCAGAGCAATTCATAGGTCAAGGATCTGGGACTATAAAGTGTCTGGTTCTCTCTCCCTTGGCAGTCCCCAAACAGAACTTTCAAGAACATGGCTAAGCAACATGCCCCTTCCTTGGCTGGGAGCTTTCCTGCCTCCACTGAGGACTTCCCCAAGGCGGCCCTGGCTCGACCGTGGAGAGCAGGAGCCCTGGCAGGGCGAGCGTCACTCGGAGCCCAAGGAAAGTCAGCCCCTCACTGGTCCAGTCGTTTTGAGTGCAAAAGGTGGGTGACGCTCCCTAACCTCTCTCGCAGGCAGCGTGTCAGAAGGAAACATTGCAAAGCACTTGGGAAATACTGTGGAGAGGAACTCTGAGTTTCACAAATGTGGAATGAACATGTGACTTCTCTTTTTAATGTGCAATACACACATTCTCTTTTTAAGTCCTGATACCATCCAGAGCACCTCAAAGACACACACCGGCACCATCTGGGCCAACTTATCGCCCTAAAGAGCATATTATAACCTGTCTCGGAGATGCCCTATTCCCTAGATCAGAGGGGAAATCAAGCGCTTCTCTCAAAGGTCGTAGGAAAGTGGCTGTGATTGGTCGTCAGCAGTGTCCTGGGATGCAGCTGAGTTCCTTCAGAACGCATCTGTTCAAAATGCCAGGTTCTGAACTCAGGACAAGGCTGCAGAAAAATCCCATTCAAGTCATAAAGCTTTTAAGAAGTCCATCCCACAAAGGACGATTAACCCCAAACCACTTCTGCCCACCACACTTGCTCCTGGGCAGGCCACAAGCACATCCCTTGAGTATGCGTTCGCAACACCCCCTGAAGGTGAGGGGTGGAGAGTTAAGAGGGGGGTTTTCAAATGTGTTTTAAGACCTACTGGCTTGTTTGTGGCTGAAAGCGGCAAAGACGTGGGGGGAATGTAAGGGGAACCTAATGAACGGTTTCTGCCCATCTAAGACCAGCCAGAAGAATTTTCATCAGTAAAGGAATCACATAAGCACGTCACCAGAACTCATGCAATAAAATGGCAGGGTATGGCCCCCAGAATGGCACAGAAGTGACCGCAGCTCTCTGTCCTGAAAGGTAGGGCTTAGGGGTCCACCCTGGGGAACAGGGAAGCTTAAGGTCCCACCTCTAGCCTGTTTGAGGACAGGGCACCGTCTTAGAAAGTACCTCAGATACAGCAAACACAGAACAAGAGAACTTGCTGATTTATGATTTCTTGGGAACTGAGAGAGAATTCATACCAGAGATACAAAATAAAAAACAACATGTTTTTTTCTGAATTTAGAGGGGGAGAGGGGGAAAAGGAGGAGTCTGAATCCCCCACTCAGGGCTGGCACATTCAAGGTCCCAGTGCAGCCACACTCAGAACTAAGGAGAATCTGCGCTGCCGAAGGGAGCACGTCCGTGGCCTCTTCGCGCCAGGAGAGGAGGGTCACGTATGCTCTGAAACGGGGAGTCCTCTCACCAGAGAGACACCATTCATTGTACAGCAGCTACTCAGATTTATCTTAACATGCATTATATTGGTGCAAAACGGAAAAGCTGCACGCCCCACAGCGCGGACTCAGTTCCAGTCCTGCCGTCACATCACCGGGTTCTACGCAGGTGTCAGGTCGTGAAAAGGTTCCTTCGAGGTAGGGAAAGGCAGCCACGACATATTATTATGAAAACCAGTTGGCTTAAAAATAGTCTCATTGTGTCTATTAGGACATGCACACTAGTATATGTATGTACACATGCATACACAGGTTCAGAGAAGAAAACCAGAGATTATTAAAATGTTAATCAAATATCTCTTGGTCACCTCTAGGAGCTTTGTACCATTTAATCTTATTGACACCCCAAAGAAGCAGGGTACTGTTTTCAATTTCAGACATGAGGCAATAGGCACATAAGTTAAGTGGCTAACTCAAGGTCATATAATTTTTTTTGTTTTTTAATCCTCACCCGAGCACATTTTTTCCATTTATCTTTAGATAGAGGGGAGGGAAGGGGGGAGAGAGAGAGAGAGAGAGAAACACATCGACATCGACGTGAGAGAGACACATGCACGACCCCAACCAGGGGATGAACCAAAACTGGAATCGAATCTGTGAAATTGAACTTGCAACTCTTTGGTCTGCAGACTGACACTCTAACCACTGAGCCACACTGGCCAGAGCTAAGGTCATACAATTTTAAGTGGTAGAGCAGGGATTCAAACCCCTGTGGTCCAGCTCCTGGCCCACATTCTTACCCAAAAGCTGGTGTGTTGTTCAGGACAACTTCTCCTTTCTATGAACATCTGTATATTCTACACTAAAGATGTATTTTTATCAGTGGAAATGCCAACTTTGTTTTTAACCTGACAAAACACATTAAAGGAAAACCTATGATTATTCTAGAAGCAACAAAAGGAAGACAAGGACGAGTTGTGATTACCTTAGTCTGGAAGACAATTTTCAGAAACTATCTAGACACTGAGTCAACAGATAGCTAAGCATATTTTGTTCCAACTCCTTCCCCATTCATTCTCAAAATAAAAACTAGCAACATGTTTTCTTTTTTTTTATCCTCACCTGAGGACATTTTTTTTTTGCATTTATCTTCATATAGAGCAGGAGGGAGAAAGGGAGGAAGACAGAGAGAAACATTGATGTGAGAGAGACAAACATCGACTGGTTGCTACCCACATGACTCCAACTGGGGCTGGGGACAAACTGCAACTGAGGTATGTGCCCTTAGCGGGAACCGAACCCGGGTCTCTCTGGTCCGAGGGCTGAAGCTCTAACCACTGAGAAAACCGACCAGGACACAACATGTTTTCTTAAGCAAGGCCAGGGTTGGATAACGAGTGGGCGGCAGGGCACTGTGACAGCTTTGTGGCTAGACTGACCTAGGTTCAAATCCTCTGCTCTGTCAGCTCCTTTACCTTGTGCAAGTGACTCAGCCTTGCTGAACCACAGATCCTACATCCAAAAGTCGGGTAGGCTGCCACCTACCATATAACACAGTGGGAAAAGCAGCTGGCACATAGTAGAGACACAAGAACTTGTAGTTAATGAAACTTAAGCCGATTTCTTGATTTTAAAAATTACACACACACACAGCACCTCTCCTAAATTGAGGGTCACAGCTATATTCTCCAAGAAAGGCCTTTGGCCAATACAAGCAGACCCTCCTCTGGCCTGGCTGCTAAAGGCTCTATTAATGAATAGCCCACCTTGTGAAGGCAAGAGCCAGAGAAGGGAGAGCTTCTTGGAGAACTGGGGCGAAGGAGAAAAGGTTTAGTTCCATATGGTTCAGAGATGTTGATAACCCATCCTGTATACATAAGTGTACAGTTGAATGAGGTGGATCATTCAACAAACCCTGACTTACACCATCGGTACGGGAACGCCTGTCCCTCCAGTAAGAAGGGATGGAAGAGCAAGGGGAAAAACAAATAACAGAGGTAACGGTGGGAGCAGTCAGGCAGACAAGATTCTGCATCAGATTATAACCCCTGAATTAGCAGCAATGGACAAGCCCTGGTGTTTGGCCAGCACAGCCACTGTGCTCTGTGGATCTGAGTATTTGCCTGTTCAACTACAAGGTTGGGTTTGAATGTCCCTGAATCCTCTTCTAGTTTGTCACATGGCACGCAGGTTAGTTAATCCCGGGAGGCACCGTTGTCAGTCTCAATGGGCATTTTCCGTGGTAGCTTGCTTACTCAGCGGGCACAGCAAGCTGCTCGCTCCCCAAACACCCACCACCACCACCACCATCAAACCTTTCCCTTAGACGCAGATCACTTCAGGGTG